TCATACAATGGAAATCCGAACATCTCGATCTTTTTGTGTCCCATCTCTCCCTGTCGTCGTCGTCGCTGGTTGCGCTGACATGGCGTCCTCTCCATGTCACACTGTGACGAAACTCCACAACGACCCATGGTCGACATGGAATACATGTAGTAGGCAAGAATATGATTCGAGGACACATCCTCACCACGTCGAGGTAACCGAACTTTCAATGGACCAGGAAGCTCGACTGCCGAGTTGTATGGCGACGCTGCACCACCGCATCCGGTGACAAGTTATGCCACTCTTTGACGTCCGACATGAATCGCCCTTTCAAGAAAACCCAACGTCCAAAACATCTTGCACAACTGTGATGGGTGTGGTAGAAGATCGTCGATGTTGGGACACGCGTCGGAGACGTTTCTACTGGAAAATTGTAATGGAGTCTGCTCCATGTATTCGCTTCACGTGACCGACATACGTTTGTTTTGTATGCGTCGTATGATGAAACGTTTGCCTTCCAGCGACGACAGAGCATCTGCTCAGGAAAATGTGCACACAGGAGCGAGTGGCGGTCGTGTGTGCAATTTCGTGCTCTAGCGAGGAGCGAGCCCCACTCGTGCGTGCCACGGAACGGCCAAACTTTTCCTCTCGTTGAGAAGAGCGGCAGGTAGGCCATTAGACCGTGCCGCTCCTTGACGTAGCATAACTATAAAGTATCGCACCTTCGCGACGATCTTCGATCATGTCCGTGTCCGGTTTGTCGCACCGACGCAACTGTATGGGATATTCCAAGCCTGACGATTGTGATTACACGTCGATTTTCCAGCCGGGACGGCTGGGACAATGGCGACACGGTCGCAGGGCATGTCGCGGTGCATATGGTTGGACACCCCATGGGACCAAAGTTGGCTCATCACGACCGTCATTTGAACATTTTCCCTGCCATGAAGTTCCTTGCCGGTCTCGTCCAAGCCGCCGTCGCGTCCCAAATCGTGTTTGACAGCCACGACCCCGTCGACGAGGGAGCCGAGGGCACCACCATCTCGAGAGATTACGGCGCTGCCATGCAATTCCGCACCCCCGCGGCCGCGAACGACGCGTGCGACCCAGAAGGGCTCACCGTCGAACTTGTCACGTTTACCATGCACACGGTCGAGGTACCCCGTAACTCGTGGCTGCAAGTCGCAATATGCCCTTCTGCCAACGGT